CTGATTCTAGAGTTGTTCAGAAGTACAGGAGCAGTCCACTTCAGCAGCAGATCATTTACTCTAGCTGTGGGTTTAATGCAAATGTGTATGTGTGTGTGTGTGTGTGTGTGTGTGTGTTGATATGTATGTACAGACAGGTCCATTTATATTAGGACATTGACACAGTTCTAACATGTTTGTCTCTATACACCAACTCAACGGATTTGAAATGAACTGAATGAAAGCAAGATGTGAAGAAAGCAAGACGGTCAGCTTTAACCTGAGGGTGTTTACATCCACATCAGGTGAACACTGGAGGAGTTACAGCAGTCTGCATATGTGCCTCACACTTGTTAAGGGACCAAAAGTACTTGGACGATTGTCTTCTCAGCTGTTTCATGGCCAGGTGTGTGTTATTCCTTCATTATCCCAATTACAGTGAGCAGATAACAGCTCAGGAGCTCATCTCAAGCGTGCTGTTAGCATTGGGAATCTGTTACCGTCAACTCTCAAAAGGAGATCCAAAGAGCTGTCACCATCATTAGACTGAAGCAACAGAACCAACCCATTAGAGAGAGAGAGAGAGAGAGAGAGAGCAGGAACATCAGGAGTGGCCAAAACAACTGTGTTGAACATTCTTAAACAGAAAGAGCGCATCAGTGATTTCAGCGACACTAAAAGACCCGGAACAACTGTGCTGGATGACTGAAGAACTCTCTCCCTGGTGAGGAAAACACGCTTCACAACAGTTGGCCAGATCAAGAACACTCTCCAGGGGTCTGTTCTTCGTACGTGGATTACTCAGTTAGCTGGATTTGGATATTGACGATTTGACACGATCCAGGATCGTTTCGTTCTTCAAAGCTGATCCGAGAGTTGTTGTCATGGCAACAGATCTGCTAGGTCAAACCTGATCGGGAGCAGGTTCAATTCATATAAACAGGATTAGATCGGCTCAGTTCAAGCAAAGATAATACAGAAAGTATGTACCGAGTTTTGATATTTTCTTACAGTAAAAGTTATATACAATTGGGAAAATAGTAGTTTTTAACTATATATATAAAGTTATAGTCATTAATAAAATAAATAAAGTTTTACATATTAATAAAACGTATG